GTTATAGGATTGCCTTTGAAAAAAAAACCATCATTAATTTTATTGTAAATCACAGAAAGTCAATCATTACAATTTTCTTTTTAACTGTTTGATGGTGTGCATTTAAAATAACGAGGAGCACGATCAAGTAGCCCCTCGGGCTCTCTTTCAGCAGTTACAAAGTTTCATTCCACCCTCGGGGCCGCTAGAGTTACCCCCACCGTCGCCTCCCCCCCGCCTCCGCGGGATCCCGCTTTAAAACCCCTCGGTGCTCCAACAGACCTGCGGCATAGACATTTCGGACAATAGTTAACTAGAAAACCGGGGAAGTGCAAAAAAGTTCGCAATCGCATCACACCGAACAACCGAGCCAAGTTTCCCAATGCGCGCGGCGCGGCGCGGCGTGAGTGTCCCCCGGCCCCGCGTCCGCTGCGGGCTGCTCGCCGGCCGGGGGGCGGCGCGGGGTTGCGGGAGGGGGTGGGGGAGGGGGTCCTTCTTCCGCGGCGGACCCCACCGTGCAGCAAATCGGGCCGAGTCCCCGGTCCCGGGCCGGTCCCCGCGTCGGGCCCCCGGCGCCCCCCGCCAGGCCCGCGCGCCCCCGCGTCCGCGCGCGTTTGCGCGGCTGCCCGGGGCAGCTCGGGCGCGGCCCACGTGCCCGCAGCCCCGAGGTCAGCACGCGGCGCCCGCCGTGCCCAGCCCAGCCCGGCCCGGCCCTGCTCGCCCTGCCCTGCCCGCCGCACTCACCGGCCCGCAGCGCCCCGCCCGTGCCCAGGGTCCGCGCGGCGCCCGCCCGCGGGGCCCAGGCCGGGACGCGCGCGGCGCGCAGGCAGCGGACGGCGGCCCGCACGCTCCACGCGGCTCGCAGCGCCATGATGCAGGGTGCGGGGGTCGCGGCGCGCCGCTCGGACACCCCGGCCGGCCGGAGGGGCGGGGCGCGGCGGGGCGGGGCGGGGGCGGGCCCGGACCGGAGCGAGCCGGAGCGAGCCGGCTGGACCGGGCCGCCGCGGGGCGGGGCCGCGAGGAGGCAAGGCCTGGTCTCTGATAGGGCAGAGTGGGGGAAGGGGCGGGGACTCGGGGCCGAGCGCGGCCTCGGATAGGGCGCCGTCGCCGGGGGGGCGTGGCGAGCGGGCGCGGGGCGTGGCGAGCGGGCGCGGGGCGGGGCGGGGCGGGGCGGCTCGCGCGCCACCCAGAGGTGCCCGGGCCCGGCGCGGCCCCCCCCCACCCCGCCCTCCGAGGAGCGGGCGGGGCTTCCGCGGGCGCGGGGACTTGTCCCCAGGCGTCGCCTCCGGGCCAGTGCAAGTTCCCGAGTCACCTGTCGGGGGTAAGAGAGCTGCAGGCGCCCAGGACTGCGGAGGCCGCTGCAGCCGGTGCCCCGGGGCCCGGGTGAGACCGGACACTCCGACCCGCTTAGAGTCGCGGTGCCCCGGGCCGCAGAGGCAGGACGGGCCATAGGGCGCTGGCCTTGCACGCGGGTGCCACCCCCCAGCACCGCCAGGAGTGACCCCGAGTCCGCACCCTCCGCAGGGCAACGGGGCAGCTCAGGGCCAGGTCCTCAGAGAATCTTTCACGCTGGGTGGCGTCTCTGGGTGGCACAAGCCAGCAGGGAGCTGGGACGCGCGTCCTTCCTGACTCTGAGATACTGAAAGCAGCTCCGCGTTGCTTCATAGGGCCCCGGAGGCCCGATCGTCATGCGCAGAAGCGCGAGGACTTGCCCCCAAGCCAGCAGTGGCCCCTTGGGAGCAGACCGGCAGGCCCAGTGTGCTCAGAGGATCAGTCCTGCGACCCAGGCCTTCTCCATCCCAGGAGATGGAGAAGGATTAAGTTCTGGGAAAGGCCTTCCCCGCAGCCCGGTGTGTGAGGGGAGACTCCCACCCTCAGTGCTCCAGCGGGGTGGCGCCTGGGAGTGTGTGTGGGTTGCTGGGTGGCCTGTGCTTCCGGCCTGAGCTCCTGTCCCACTGACAGATTGGACCAGCCAAGTGCCCAGGTGCTGTGGCCTGCTGGGCTTCGGAGAGATATCCGTGGGGTTCTGGTGGCCTGACTCCTGCTCTTTGGTGGGCTCAGAAAGGTGAAGGAGCTTATGTAGGTGTGGAAAAAACTTAACTGGCGGTAAGGGCTGGAGGGACCCACCCTCCAGCCTGAATCCCTGGCAGCCCTTTGTTCCCTCCTTTAGACCTTGGCACTTGGCTGGGTTCTACCACAGCAGTAGTCTCTGATAATTGCGGTGGCGGTTTTCGCCCCATAAGCCAGCGATGCATCCTTCAAACCGGGGCTGGAGATACGCCCCACTTGGTCTCTTGGAAGACATGGCGAGATCACACAGCAGGGCCGGAGAGACAGCACAGAGGGCGAGAGGCACTTGCCCAGCCTGCAGTGGACCCGAGTTCAACACCCCAGCACTGCTTCTGGTCTCTGGAGCAGCGCCAGGAGTGATCCCTGAGCACAGAGCCAGGAGGAAGCCCAGAGCAAGGCCAGGCGTGGCCTCCAATCTAAAAGACTAAAGTCACAGATCTGTCTGTGGGTGGCATCCCAGACCCTCCCACTGGAGGGGAGAGGAACCGGCCACTCCTCAGAAGCATCACCTCGTGGGCGGGGGTGGAGCCTGGGGGAGGCTGGTTTGGACCAGCTGTGAGCTTCCCTCCAGGGGACCCCACCAGCTGTTCAATGCTGCTTGGATCCTTCTGTGCTGGAGATTATCCAGGTTAACCCCGGGGTGCTGGGGGCCTCCAGGGACTAACGTATCAGTGCTTGGGGACCCCCAGGGCGAGCCCCAGCAATGCTCAGGGAGACCATGTGATGCCAGAATGAAGCCTGGGTCAGATGCATGCGAGGCATGAGCCCTAACGCGTCCCCACGCTCCAGAGACGTGTACTTCCATAGACAAAACCTTGCCCCCTGCAAGGACATCTTCCGGGCCACACCAGGAGGAGAGACTCTGCCTCCGCTCCCCAGGGGACAGTGACCCTGCTTCCCTGCCCCACCCTGCGGCCTCTCCTTCCCGCCAACCTTCCTCCCTGAGCCGCTGTTCAGTGACACAATCTCTCAAGGCTGTTTGTGTGGCTTTGTTGTTGCAGTTGGGCCACACCTCTGGTGCTCAGGGCTTACTCCTGGCTCCCGGAGGGCTCAGGCACCGAGCTAGGGTCAGCGGCACGCGAGGCCAGCACCTTACCTACTCTCCAGTCTCTCTGGGCCCACTTTTTTTTTTTGCTTTTTTGGGGTCACATCCGGCAATGCACAGGGGTTCCTCCTGGTTCATGCACTCAGGAATTACGCCTGGCGGCACTCAGGGGACCATATGGGATGCTGGGAATCGAACCCGGGTCGGCCACGTGCAAAGCAAACGCCCTACCCGCTGTGCTATCTCTCCAGCCCCTCTGGGCCCACTTTTGAGGTCTTTGGAGGGGTTCCTCCCAGCTCTGTGCCTTAGGGATCACTCCTAAGAGAGCTCACAGGACCACACGGCGCCAGGGGTCCAGCCCAGGGCTCCGACAGGCAAAGCATTCGCCCAGTCATGGGGCCGTTTTCCCAGCCCTGCACTGCACATTTGGTACCTGACCCTAGTTTGCTGGGAGGGGGATGGGGGGTAGCCACACCCTGCTGTGTCTAGGGCTGACTCCTGACTCTGTGCTCACAGACCACTCCTGGCAGTGCTTGGAGGACCCTAGGGGATATTGGGACTCAAACCTAGGTCAGCCACATGCAAGGCAAGCGCCCCCTCGCCACTGTCCTGTGGCTCCGAGGGCCCCAGTCACCGCTGTGAGCTGCTCCTTTCTTTCCCCTCCTTATCGTGACCCTGAGGGACACGCACTTTCGTATTCACAGAGCGAGAACAACAGGTATCCAGATAAGTCTGGGAATTTTATGGGGGTCACTTATGGTGCAGGTCCAAGCCAGGGTAGCCCCCATGCCAGGCATATGCCCTGCTGAACCACAGGCCAGCCCCATCCCGGTCTGTCCAGAGAGCGACTTTATTAAAGGACTTGGGAACCCATGAAGAAGGCGAAAGACTCTGTGAGACTTTGGGAGATAACTCACGGTGATTCCACAAAAAAAAAAAATAATAAATTTTTTTTTAAAAAAAGCTATCACCGGGGCTGGAGCAATAGCACAGCGGGTAGGGCGTTTGCCTTGCACGCTGCCAACCCGGGTCAACCCGGGTTCGATTCCCAGCATCCCATAGGGTCCCCTGAGCACCGCCAGGGTTAATTCCTGAGTGCAGAGCCAGGAGTAACCCCTGTGCATCGCCAGGTATGACCCAAAAAGCCAAAAAACAAGAACAAAAACAAAAAAGGCTATCACACACACACAAAAAAAGACTTTGGGGAGAATGCCACTGTCTGCAAGGGTTCAGCCAAAGAAAGATTATTGGGCAAAACGTTCTTTCAGGGGAAGGCTTCCGACATCCATGACCAGATTGATGAGTTTGGGCTTCCACTTTCGACAGAGATCAAAACTGCATTTGGTTAGGTATTAAACATTGATGCCAGACACACACATGAGCACGCGTGCACACATACACACACACACACACGCATACACACACACACACACACGCATACACACACATGACTGACCCTTCCTTATCTTCCTTCTTTCTCTGGGATCTAACCCTGGGCTTTTCTGCTGAGCCACATCCGAGGCCGGGCTCCTGGGGGGTGGGAGGAGCAGGTGGGATTCGGACCCGGTCTTCTCTTGCCACTACGGGGCCGGGGGTGGGGTGGGGGGGGGCGGGGGCTTCGCTCCTGCAGGAAGCTCAGCCCAGAGGGCTAAGTGCAGAGCTGAAGCCAGCCCAGTGCCCCACTCCACCAGCCGGGAAACCTTCCTTCCCAGTCCAGTCTGGTCTCTGCCAAGGTCCCCACAGTGCTCACAGTCACCTTGATGTTGGGGTTCTCTCCTACTGGGAATCCCAAGCAGAGAGGACTCCTTTCTGCCCAGAGAACCCCACTCTCATCCCTGTGCCCTCTCCACAGATGCTGGTAGGAACTGACCCAGCAGACACTCAGGCCCGGGAACTGGGAGAGCTGCTCTGGGACGCGGCTGCAGTTCACACGGAAACAGAGGTCGCCATGTGACTCGCTGGAATGAACCCCCAGGCCCAGGCTGGACGCGCTCCGCGGGCTGAGAGCCAGGTAAGGTTCCCGCTCTTGCCCAAAGCGCCTCGCCGCCTGGGGCTGCCCCCTCTCCCTTTCCTGCCCTCCTTGATGCCCAGCAGCCAAGCCTCTGTCTGTTCCTCTTCCTTGTTCTCTCCTGTATGAGCTTCCTGCCTTCTGCTTGGCAGTTCTCAGAACCGAGCTGTCCACTTCATGGAGTGCCCATCGAGTGTGCTCAGGTCACCTGTCTTCCTTCAAGGACGGTTAGGCCTCAACCTTGGCCGTTAAGACCCCCGCCCAGGGCCAGGGGCCGGAGAGAGAGAGCACAGTGGGCAGGGTGCCCGCCTTGCACAGTACCTCACAGCTTAGCACAGTGGCCGTATTGTAGCCAATGAAGTTTACCCGAGGAGGCGCGCGATTCTGGATAATTGAAAAACCTGTTCCCAACCTCACCAGGAATGACCCCTGAATGAGGAGCCAGCAGTAAGCCCCAAGCACCATAGGGTGTGGCCCAAGAACAAGGAAGGAAGGAGGAAGGAAGGGAGGGAGGGAGGGAGGGAAAAAGGGTGGGAGGATGGGAGGAAGGGAAGGAGGGGGACGAAGGGGGGATGGGAGGAAGGGAGTCAAACCTGGGGGTTGAACCCAGGTCCCTATCATCAGCCCTCCGAGACATCCCTGCAGCCCGGTCTGAGCCACTTTAGTGCCAGGTGCCAGCCTGAACTCGGACAGTCCTTTGTAGACACTCAGAAGCTCCTGGTCAGCCCCCACCCCGGCTGGGCCGGCCGCGTCCTGCCTCCCTTCTCTGGGGAAGGGCACCCCCACGGCCAGCCGGCCACCTGCACCCCACGTGTCCTCTGCCTTAGCACGTCCTTTCTGATAACGGGCCGCCATGGCCGGCGGTGCCCAGGTGTCGCTCTGGCCTCTCATTTTCATCTTTCTTTGGGTAAGTTCTTCAAAGTGAACTACGCACCTTCCAGCGATTCGGGGGCGATGTGGCGTTGGTGCTGGGGCTCCTACTTCCGTGCTCTGGGGTCACTCCTGGCAGTGCTGGGGCTTGAACCCAGACCTCCCGCACACCAAGGATGCGCTCGACCTTGGAGCTGTCCCTGGGCCCAGGCCTGGCTTCAGTGCCCACCTGTCCTCGGAGTGGAGAGACCCCCCCCCCCGCCCCTGCCATATCTGAGCGCCCTGACTCCTGCCAACGTCTGCTGTGCTCAATGTTTTCCACTTTAGCTCTTGAGAGTGGGGTGCAGTGTGTTGGCCCGGGTGCCCTTTGACCCCTGCCCTCCGTCAGCAACTGCCAGCGCGTGTGGCCGTGCGTTTAGACCGAGTTCCACTTTGGACCATCACCTCCGGGGGCAGCCGTAGCCATGTCCCCTGGCAGCAGGCCACTCTCCTGGTGGACCTGCACGCCCCCAGCCGGCCTCACCTGCCCCCACCAGCTGGGGCCACGGAGGAAACCCCTCCTCACACCGACCTCTGGGCTGCTGCTGTTATAAAAACGACAAGCTTGGGCTGGAGAGACAGCCCAGCAGGGAGGGCATTGCCTCGCCTGGGGCCATCCTGGGTTCCCTCCCGGCATCCCAAAGCATCCTCGAGCGCCACCAGGACTGATCCCAGAGCACAGAGTAAGCCCTGAGCTCGGCTGGGTGTGTCCAAAAGTAGCACTGTCACACTGTCCTCCCATTCTTCATCAGTTTGCTCGAGCGGGCACCACTAACGTCTCCTTTGTGAGACTTGTTGTTACTGTGTTTGGCATACCGAATACGCCACGGGGAGCTTGCCGGGCTCTGCCGTGCGGGCGAGATACTCTCTGTAGCTTGCCGGGCTCTCCGAGAGGGGCGGAGGAATCGAACCCAGGTCAGCCGCGTGCAAGGCAAATGCCCTGCCCACTGTGCCATCGCTCCAGCCCTTCCAAAAGTAAACCTACAGAAAACACCAGGCAAGCTGCGGGGTGTGTGTGGGGGAGGTAAGTCCGAGGGCTGGAGGATGTGTTCTGCGTGAGGGAGGCCTGGGTAGGTCCCAACAACCACACGGTCCCCTGAGCCCTGCAGGAAGTGATCCCCAAGCATCTAGCTGGGAGTACCCCCCCAAACACACACACACACACAAATAAAACATGAAGGGAGAACTGTGTCCTAGGGGAGCTCTGAGTTCAGCCCGGCTGGGGCCAGAGAGCGGGGAGCACTGCCCAGGAGCGACTGGAGAAGCTGCCCTCCGTCCCCCCGGCCACTCACACCTGCTCTTGTGCAATTGCTTGTTTAATGTGTTTCTGCAAACAGCTGCTCATTCCGGGGCAGTGACCTGTGGCGGCCAGTTAGCGCCCAGTGCCCAAGGCTGGTGACAGCCAGGATGAGCCATCTGCGGGGAACGTTTTTTGGGGGGGAGGGAACAGTTCTAAATGGGACTCGGGGTGAGGGAGCTCTTGCAGCTCTGCCACTGCACCAGGTAGCCGTGGCCTGGGTGAGGACCCGTGGGTGCCGGACTCCGCCCAGGGCCTCCCAGAAAACCATCCCGGCCGCCGCTGCTGCGGACACTGGCAGCTCCGTGGAAAAAGATCACGTTCAGGAAAGGTCTAGCAGAGCACTTGTGCCTGCACACTTGGGGGCAGCGTGGGAGGCCGGGGGCCACGGGGAGGGCTGCCCCTGGGGATGGCGGTGGCTTCCGTAGGCACCCGCCTGGGTGCCAGGGTGCAGGGCTCTGCTCTGTGTGTGCCTTGGTGCCTGTGAATCTCCCAGCAGAGGCCTGCGGGGTTAGGGGGGAGGTGAGAAGCAGGCTGGTGGGGCCAGGGAGCAGGCAGGGACCCCCTGGACAGGGGCAGTGGAGCAGTGGACCAGGAAAACTCTCTCTGGGCATCTTCTCTTGGGGGCCGCAACGGGCCGAGCTCTGGGATTACTCCTAGCTACTCCGGGGGGGCAGAGGGAGTTTGGGGAGGGCGCGGGGAGGGACATAGAGCCAGGAGCAGCACTGCCTGCTGTGACCCCAAAGGTCACTGCTAGGGGGCTGGAGTGATAGCACAGCAGGGAGGACGCAGTTGCATGCAGTTGGTTGCACGCAGCCAACCCAGGTTCGATTGCCAGCATCCCATAGGGTCCCCCGAGCACCGCCAGGAGTAATTCCTGAGTGCATGAGCCAGGAGTAACCCCTGTGCCTTTCTGGGTGTGACCCCCCCTCCAAAAAAAAGTCACTGTTATTCCTTGACATGCTTTCCATTGGAATTGGGAGTGTCACATTTTCATGGCATTCTGCAGGCTCAGGGAGGCTGAACAACCTGCCCAGGGGTGCTCAGCCCAGAAGTGGCTCCTGGGAACGTGGGAACTGTAGGTACAGTGCAGGGTAGTCTGTGCACCGAGCCAGTGTGAGGCCTTTCTCCGGAGCGGATTGGAACCCAGGCACCTCCTGCAGGGGGGCTGGGGGGGTCGGGGAGGGCCCCTGCTGCCATCGCCCTGAGGGAGCGACTGACCCAGGGTGTCCGGGCCACTGGGCCCAGCTGGCTCCAGGGAGGCGCTGCAGGGGTGCAGGTCCCCAGCCAAGGCTCCTGCCCCAGGCGCCGGGTACACGCTGTGCCCAGGCAGGCAGCGAGCCCTCTTTGGCCCTCCTCGGCGTGGCATGGGCAGGTGCGTTTTTCCTGCAGAACAAGAAAAAGAGGGTCAGTTGGCGCTGAGTGACAGGCCTGCGGTAGAAGGGTGGGTGTCGCCTAGGCCACTGGCTGGGGACAATCCCTTCCTGTGGTTCCACTCATGCCCCCTGCTGGCCTCACCAGGGAACTTAACCCCTCGCAGAGATGGCCAAGAATCCCGGGTTCGAATCCCCATCCGCCAATCTCACTGCAGTGTTCACAGCGAAGTTTAACAGCGACCAGTCTTCTGAGTTTATTTTTTTAAAAATATAACAGCATTGGGGCTGGAGCAATAGCACAGAGGGTAGGGCGTTTGCTTTGCACGTGGCCAACCCGGGTTCAATTCCCAGCATCCCATCGGGTCCCCTGAGCACCGCCAGGGGTAATTCCTGAGCGCAGAGCCAGGAGGAACCCCTGTGCATTGCCCCAAAAAGCAAAAAAATAAAAAAATAAAAATAAAAATAAATTAAATAAAATATAACAGCTTTTTTTTGGGGGGTGAGCCATGCCCAGTGACACTCCGGACGACTCCCGGCTCCATACTTGGGGATCACGCCTGGCGGGGCTCGGGGCCCATGTGGTGTTCGGAACCAAAACCAGGCCTCCTGCCCGCTGAGCTCAGCACCTGTCTCTGGCCAAGATGGCACACATGTGTTTTGATTTTATTTGACACGACTATTTTAATAGGCAGGAAACAAACTTCTCAAGAACTGAAAGACTTTCGGGGGCTGGAGTGATAGCACAGCGGGTAGGGCGTTTGCCTTGCATGCGGCTGACCTGGGTTCGATTTCCAGCGTCTCACATGGTTCCCTGGGCACTGCCAGGGGTAATTCCTGGGTACATGAGCCAGGAGTAACCCCTGTGCTTCGCCGGGTGTGACCCAAAAAGCAAAAAAAAAATGAAAAAAGAACGGAAAGACTTTCAATCCGAAGGTTGTCAAGAAAGCTTAGCTCCTCGGGCCGGCGAAATTGAAGAGCAGATAGGGTGCTTGCCTTGCACGTGGCCGACCAGGGCTCCTCCTCGGCACCCCGTATGTCCCTCTTAGGCCTCACCAGGAGTGACCCCTGAGTACAGAGCCTGGAGTTAGCCCTGAGCACCACCAGATGCGACCTCCCCCGCCCCCCAAAAAGCAGCTTATCTAGTAGTAAGCTGCTTATTTGAGAAGCACAACTGAGCAAGTTCTTCTATTCTGGCTTCCTCGGGGGTGACCAGTTACCGTCAGTCACTCTTATGTCAGGAGAGCGGAGATGTGCTGAGTGTGTCAACGTTGCAGGGAAACCAGGGTGTGCAGTGACTGTGACCCCCACTGATGGCCCATTGGAGAGGGGGCTGTTCCCACAGTCACGGCAGCACAGATGTAGCAAAGGCCGAAACAGTGGCCAGGCCAGAGCTGAAGGTAGATGAATTCTTTCTTCATCGT